AGTATGAAGATACAATTACAAATGTCACTTCCCTTGTTAAAAAAACATCATTGGGCTAATGTAAAAATTACTCACAATAAATCATTGTGTTCCTGTATATATCATAATGGATATCTACATAATTAAATGTAATCTTTGGTCAAGATAGTGTTATATTATTGGTATAGTGGCATAGGGAAATTAATGCATGATATATAGGAAAACATTATATATAACAATAGCTTGACCAAAGATTACATTATGTAGATATCCATGCACTAAGGGAATCACTGAAAACTGATTGAGAAAAAAAATAAGCAAAGTAATGAAGGCTAAATCTCTATATATGAAGAGTTGCTAATAATATTTGCCTGTGCATGCATGCAATGGTACTAGGCCCACTTAAAGTTCCTCCGTTATGGTACCCTCAAGTCTCCTGACAAGAATCTCTTTGTTGCCAGTTGTGCTGAGTTTTCTTAACTGTAATTGTGCCTTCAACTCCTTGATGGTCATGTCTTTGGGATTCCTATGGATTGGATTTAATTGTACTTTGGATTTGTGTGTATCCATGTGTGTTGCCATGGTAACCTCATCAGCAAATTGCTTGTCACATAGACTACAACTGTATGGCTTTAGGACATTTAGAACATCTCTAGAGAGTTCTTTCTTTTCTGCACACAAAATAACAACTGTACTTTCAACACATTTTGAACAGCATTCACTTTCTTGATCTTCCTTTTTTCTTCCACAAGCACAGTACTCGATAAGATTACAATGGGGCGGCACACGTGACTTAAAGTGTGAACTGTAGGAGCTGGGCATTGGGTGATACTCTGGAAGGTAAAAGCTACGCACATAGTTTGCACGCATTACTTGCCACCATTTTCCCCNACTGATCTGCTGTGAAACTTCCAAAACCTGTTGCAATTTGATGGTATTCTACCAGTTTCGGAAAAGAGGTTCCACAGCATTGACACTTTTTTAAATTATTTCCAGATCTTTGTCATTAAGTGCACCTGTATCTTTCCATATTTTCATTGTTTTGGCAATACCAAGAAATAGATTATGCATTTTGTCTACAACTACAAAACAATTGGCATCATAATTATGCTTATGATTGGATAAGAGCTTTTAATGAACTTGTGTCTATTGCACCGGTTGGTTTCTACTTTTACCGATTATCACGAAACTATTGAAGTTTCGTTTTTAGAAGTAAAAAAATGTAACTGCATGATCGTAAAATTTTTTAAATAATATTATTGTGATCGAGTACTAGTAGAATATCAACTATTCTTCGATAAAACAAATTTAGTCTTTTGGGGGGCTCGAAGAATTTGAATACTGATCAAACCGGATATAAGCACGCATGATTTAAAGCACACCAAGCATTTAACTCTCGCGTAGACAACGGGAGGTCCAACATCTTGCAAAATGGCGACAATGTTTGTTAAACGTTGTTCCTTCTGCCGTAACGACTTTCGAACAACGGCCGCCATAATGAAACACCACAATCAGTGTCACACTGGAGAAGACTTCCCGAATAATAGTTTATTTTTTAAGAGAAGCTCTGACGAAATCCGCAAGGCCCCAGAGGGAAAGCCAATGCAATGCAAAGAAGAGTTGTCCAGGTACCAGGTTTGGATTTCCAACCTAGTTTATGGTATTAATTCCTCTCATCACCCCAAATCGCCAGGTAAGTCACTGAAAATAAGATTGGAAATTCATATATCGCTTTTTCATAGCTAAAAAGCGCTTGCATACAAATGTTTTGCATATTCACGTAGATGACATGCCCGACGTGTAATTGTACGCGCGGACTCATCAGTGCCATGAGTACCATGACGTCTAAAATTCTATTGTGTTCCTGAAAGTTTGATACATCACTTCTTTGGTGATTATTCATTTTAAAATTACTGTGATATGCCGAGAATTCTATTTGATACATTCCACGTTTAGCGATGTTATTGATAATTATACAGTAGTCTCCTTGCAAATATACTGTAAGAAAACAATGTCGCGTTCTTAGCTGGCGTAAAACAGACTCCGAACGTTTATTTCGACATTGCATTTAATTGTTTTCGTGAAATATTTCATCAACTTTGCCTACAGCAATTTTTTAAGCACGCCATTACTTTCACTGACTCATTAAAAATCATTGCAGTATTATTAAAGTTTTGCACTCACAGTCTCTGCCTTTACAGAAAAATGGCAACAAATTAAACCAACAGATGTACCAGAGGCATACTTTTTGCAGCTCCTATTTGACCTAAAGGCACGCTGCAACAGTATAAGAGAAGTTAAGCATCTAAAGCCTCCCGTTTGGCAGGAGAAGGTCCAACAACTCTCGTATATCACCCATTCTCTCAGTGATGTTCATACAGCTCTTAGTAGTGAAAATAAGACACTCAACAAGCAAAACTCAAATCACAGGAAAAACTCGTCTTGCAGTCAACGATGAGGTCTGAAATTCAAGTAAAGCCAAGAGAAGGGAGGATATCAAGGGAAATGGAGCTGAAATGGCTACCAGTCTATGAAAAACCAGACAGAGGTCTATTAATAGTGAGACTTTATTTTATTAAAGTGAAGATCTAAATTACATTTTGAAACAAAAACGTACAATTAAAAGCACACTAAAAATGCTTCTAATTTGTTTTAACAAAAATCACTTTCAATTTTTTGAGAAAATTATAATAATTATTGGTTGTAATAGTGAATTCATAAGTACAAAAATCGTTGATTTCTTCGTATATAGCAATGCCATTATAGCTTAAATAATGCAATTTAGAAGATCACGGCATATTCAGTGGACATTACTTCCTATTTTTGTTATTTACAGGGTCATTAAACTGCTATTTTCTTTATATTAGCTGTACATGTTACTGAAATAAAACCATTAGGATACTATTAAATATACAAATAACAAACGGTGTTATTACACAATGATGCACCTGGAGAGAAAAAAACATTCTCACAGAACAACAGCCATAAATGGACAAGTCACTCTGCTGCTCCAAGGCAACTGACTATCATAAGATAATTACTGAATAGTACAAACAATGTTATTTGGATACTATATATGTGGTGTTATTGCCCAATGATGCACCTGGAGAAAAAAAAAACATTCTCACAGAACAACAGCCAAAAATGGCCAAGTCACTCTGCTGCTTCAAGGCAACTGCTTGACTTAATGTAATTACTGAATAGTACAAACAATGTTATTTGGATATTATATATGTGGTGTTATTGCCCAATGATGCACCTGGAGAGAAAAAAACATTCTCACAGAACAACAGCCATAAATGGACAAGTCACTCTGCTGCTCCAAGGCAACTGACTATCATAAGATAATTACTGAATAGTACAAACAATGTTATTTGGATACTATATATGTGGTGTTATTGCCCAATGATGCACCTGGAGGAAAAAAAAACATTCTCACAGAACAACAGCCATAATTGGCCAAGTCACCCTGCTGCTTCAAGGCAACTGACTATCATAAGATAATTACTGAATATAGTACAGAATGTGTTATTTAGATACTATACATGTATATATAGTGTTATTGCCCAATAATGCACCTGGAGAAAAAAAAAAGCATTCTCAGAGAACAACAGCCATAAATGGCCAAGTCACTCTGCTGCTTCAAGGCAACTGACTGACATAATGTCATTACTGAATAGTACAAACAATGTTATTTGGATACTATATATGTGGTGTTATTGCCCAATGATGCACCTGGAGAAAAAAAAAACATTCTCACAGTATAACAGCCATAAATTACCAAGTCACTCTGCTGCTTCAAGGCAACCTGAAAAAATTCAAAATCAGAAAAATAATTAGCAATGAATTTAAAGCATTGGTTTGAAAATTAAAAACTACAACTGTTAAAGGGCTACTTGGACGAAAATTGCGAAACATTAGAAAAGACTTGGGAATCAAATAGACCTATCCATATGGATGTAATAATCATGAAAAAGGAGGAGAATGCTCATAATTTTAATCAATCCTAAAGAAACGTTCGATATTAAATTGTAAGCTTAATAGAATGCAAAGGTCTAACAATATCAGTAACCGTGTTTTTTTAAAACCGCACGTTTTTCTGCAGTACTTTTCATTGAACTAATCTTCATAATCACAGTACTTACCATGTTATCCAGTTGTTTGTCAATCTAGGTTTCTTCTCCGTATTCATATCTCATCACATAGTGAATTAAAGCGCAAATAAAGAAGGTTATTATTCCAGAGTTATTGTAGCAGAAGTACTATAAAATTCAAAAACAAATCGAACTGATCACCAGTATTTTGATTGGAAAACAAAGAGCATGTCGAAAGCTTTGCCCTCTTGGTGGGGCTCAGTAAGATTGTCGAATCACGAGATCGAGGTTTTTGGTCTGACCGGGGAGGTAGCTGGTATTGTTATTGCAACATGGGTTAAAGGCTCTCCGTATCACATGACTTCCCGTGACCCAGATACTTGTCGCAAAGTTCCAGAGAATTTGAATTTTCCGCCAAAACCGTTGTAAATCGAACGGTTTCTACCGAACCGTTGACCGAATGAGGCTGAAACTCGGCCATCTATCAAATGAGTGGATTTCGAAGGAAGATGATCCTGAATAAAGGCATGCATTTTCTTCTTGCCCATTTCTGCACTTTTCAGTAAATTCTCGGCGATTTCTGGCGGAAGAATGACACCAGTTGCAATATGAAGTAGTGGGGTGTCATCATCACCATCAAATGGGTTGGACAATAACATTCAATTATTTTGTTTACATCTTGCTCAACGCGTTGGACTCTCTTTGGTTGGGATTCTTTGTGGGTACCCATGCGATCCCCATCCCCAATACCATACATTTCTTTTTTTAAATGCAGTGGTCACAGAGGCTCGCTCATGAGCAGTTATAAACCATTTCTGTAAGGCACATTGGTTTTGGGTTATTCCAATGACTCCACCTTTTGACGTCGAATCAGCGTTGATGGATTGTTCAAGAGCCATATCTGTCCATACTTTAGCAAAAGGCTGGTTGTCAGATCGGTTTATAGCATGGTTACCTACAATATATAGCAAAATAAGCAAGACCGTCTACCCAATTATAGATAAAGTTACCAGTTCTCTCTGCCTTAATAAACTGGAGAAGAATGTTCACAACAACACCATAATCATCCCAAAACGCAAACAGGCTTGACTTTTTTCTGGATTCTTGCTTGAAAGTGTTAAATAAGGAAATGGCGTCCTTGATCTCAGACTGTAATCTCTCATTGTTTACGACAAGCTCATTATAAGGACCTGAAAAACAACAGGAAATAACTAAAATTACATATTATAGTAATGAATTTTTGACAAATTACTGGTGCATAACTGCAAAAATACCTTTCTTGGCTTTGTGACAGTCGTTTATTACGCTGTAAACCTTTTCCATTGAAATTCGCGGCTGTTCATCATTCGGTCTTTCCTGTATCCATTTTTCAAATGCCTTCCAGGAGACGAAAGAGTGCCTCTTCAACCAATTTATGTTGTATTGCTTTCCAGCTAACAAGGCAGTCGTGGACCCTGCAGCATATACTCCAGACTCTACTAGTAAATCTTCCAGACCTGACTCGGCATACATCTTGGCAATAACAGACAAGAAGTTCAATGCAATGTGAAATCCCACCATCCTAATTATTGTGCCTTCAAACTCTCTAATAGCTTTCCACTGAATTTGCTTGGCTTTCATGTACACGGCAAGGTCACAAGTAATGACAGTGTCTTGTTGAACGACACTTGCGCATTTCATCCATACTTGTTGCTTTGTAAAATTCATGTGTAGAACCATCATACCCCTCCATATCAGCAGCTACCAGGTCGTCGTTTAAAATATGTAACATTCTTTGATCTTCTTTAGCATATTCCGCTTTCTTTATTGCATCTCGATCCTTAAACGAGCTTGCATTATTCATTTCTCTACACCTCTTGTAGCTTTTATTGCCACAAATCAAGCATGATTGTGATGTGATGATTTAGATCTTAAAAATCTATTATCTATACGTCGCCTTGTCTTTCAATTTCCCACAGATATTATTATATTCTTTAATATTCATAATGAACATAATAACTCTTGAAAATTCAAAGCCATCTTCTTTCGATTTTTTGTGCACAGCTCGACGTCTGAAAACTGCACATACTTTGCTAAGGTCGGCAGACTTCGTTTTCCATGCTTTACCGACACGTTTGTTGAAGCTTCCCGACGATACCTTCCCCTCGCCATCCCGGGTAATGTGTACCTCCGAGCTCAATTTTACGGTCTTATTATCTTGGTCGCAGTAGACTTCATAAAACCSCACTCCGTCTTTCTTAACGAATGCAMCCGGAGTGTCATCAGCATCTAAGTCATATGGGTGCTTTAGTTTTATTTCGCGTTGGTCCACAACGAAAGTGCCAGTCTCTTTAATCCTCAGAGGCTTTTGTTTTGCCATTCGTTTGGCATCGGTACCAAATGTGCAGAGTTTGAATATGTCCGCAACGCTCGGACTGTCTCTGCTGTAATGCTGTAATGGCAGAGATTCTTTACCGCGATACAATGCAGGAGAATCACAAGTAGATTTTGCTASGTCCACATGGTCAATACTATCATTGTTATATTTGAGTGACCTTCTAACGTCATCAGTTGGTCTCTCTGGGTTGACATCATTATCAGATTCTCCAGAATCGTCGCTCAAAATTATGATGGTATTCTTACTGTTGTTCTCTTCTTTTTTTGGAGTRAAATCTTTCCTCTTCATACTGTTAACCGTAGACTGTATGCACACGTGGCACAATCACAGGTCAAAGAGGTTCTTCAGAAGAGATGGCTAACTTATGAACTCGAGTGTCACAAAATTGACAGCAATCTCATTTACAATTTAGTGTCAATATAATATAAGGGTTTTTAAACCAAAAACGTATCAAAATAGTATTTATTTTCTTAATATTCAAAAATAACTTTTTGGTTATTTTTACACTTGTGTGTCCTCGTGGTCACTCGGATGTACTTTTAGATCATTGGCCTCTTGAAAGCATCATCTTGACGTCTATAGCGCCCCAACTAAAGCGCCCCGACTATAACAACTTTGCCAATTACGGTGGTAACACTGTAGTTTGGTGGGGAGGTTTCAGGGGCGGATTTAGGATTTTTGAAAAGAGGGGGCCGGATGTGTCTTGTGTCCAATTTAGCGCCGAAGGCGCGAATTTCCTAGGGGGGTCCGGGGGCATGCCCCCCCGGGAAATTTTGAAATTGAGACCGTCAGAGATGCGATTTCCAGAATTTTGAGTGACCATGATAATAATTTTTTGGACATTTTTTTGTCTTTTATTTTTATCCATTTTCTAATAACCCTTGATTTTTGGATTAAATTTTAGATAAATTTGAGGCAATTTTTTGTATTCCATTACAAAAGAATGTAACACTCTAGAGCTAAACTATTTTAGACACTTAATTATTCAACAGGATCCCCTGCGCTACTTAGCATATTGGTTTAACATCAAGTACAATATTAAAAGGAAATTTGAAAATTTGAAGTTCGTCAATGACAAGGCGAAAATGGTTTTTGGAGAGAAAAAAATATTTGAGTATAAAATTAAAACATATCTAACCAATGTCCTTTTTCATAGTTCAAAAAACATCAATCATGTTTTGCAACAAATGTGACAACATCAAAAAGTTTGTCACTAAGTGGGTTGAGAAAGGTCATTCTCCTTGGATTGCGGGATGCAAACATGTCAACAACTGCCGAGTAGTCCAAAGGAATATTATCTTTATGGATAAAAAGTAGAAGTAGCGCATTAAGTCGATCTTCCGACATTGTGGTTCTGTAAAGATTCTTGACAAAACGTAGTGAAGAGTTGCTACGTTCTACTGTGGCGCTTGTTACAGGTGTGATGGAAAGTACACGCAGAATGGTGTGAATATTCGGATAAAGACTTACGTTGCAAGCGTTTAAGGTGTCTTGCAAATTGCTTGGTTTTTCTTCAACAGTGGCCCTAAACAAAAATATGTACATTTCTTAGAACATTTAAAAACTAACATAAATTGAATGATTATACTAAATAAAAGCAGACTTACCAATAATGCTTCCATAGCTCCATTTCTTGCGGCGCACTAGTTGCTGCTGGCAGATCAGGTGAATAATGCTGAATCACTTCGCTACTGGAGGATTTATCAAGCTTATCAAGATTAACAGGAATGAGAAGCAGTCCAAATACTGCTGATTTGGACAGTCCATCAAAGCGGTTAGCCATCTGGTCCAACAGGCCATCAAGGAACGGGACGAAAATGCTTCGTCTAAAGTAGGCAAGTGGGCCCTTAGACTGTACATTACTGCGCAATATCTGTCTGCCACACACTCGGGGGATGGTAATTTTCACGCCTGCCGTTTTAGTCATAGCATTCATCTTGTCTTTGATGGATCCTGCAAACTTGGACTTTGCATTTGTTCTTATATCCTGAAGGTGGTTCTTCACTACATTGATGTGATTGTATGCATCAACGAAATTCAATGTAGAGCCCTGCAAGGAACGGCTGAGGCCAACTGTATAGCCAAAAAGGTACTTAGCGGTACAAAAAGCAGAGATGAACGCGGGTTTTGTTATTTGGTGGAACAAACCTTGTGCCTCAGTCTTAGATTTGGCATCCCACTTTCTGGAACCTTTATTTTGTGATATCCTATCTAGGCAAAGAAGGAGAGGTTCGTAAAGGTCTTCAAAGTCTTGAAATGCAGTGTGACGTTCTACCCATCGCGTCTCGCAAAGCGGCTTTATCTTCACTTTTGCAGCTTTTCTCTTGGCACTATCTTCTTCTTTACTATCGTCACTTTTTCTGTTTTCTTCCTTGTCTGCACTTTCTTCTTCRCACACCTYGTCTTCTTCTTCTTCTTCCGATTCACTGCTGTCATCGCCGCTGTCAATTCCAACTTCATTTTCTTCAAATTCCGATTGATTGTTGATTTTAGCTCCTTCATCCACAGCAATAATGCTTTCTTCTAGCTCACGTTGTCGTTTGGGGGAATACTTGAAAAAAATGCCCACTGACTTGAGAGCTGACACCATATTGTTGATCTCAGCTACCTTGGATGCATGTGATAGAGCCAAATTTAGTTCGTGGCTTGCACAATGAAAATAAAAAGCTCTAGGGGAGACATCCTGGAAGAGTTTGGCACAGCCATTGTGGCATCCTGACATGGCACCTGCACCGTCATACGTTTGCGCTCGGCACATTTTGGGATCCAACCCCAAGTTTGACAGTTCCTGTACAATTTCGTCACATATCTCTCGCCCAGTGCAGCCTTCACATTGAATGTAGGACACAAGTCTCTCGGTTACTTTTTCATTATATAAGTAACGAATAACCAGGCCAAGCTGCTCCCAGTTAGCTGAATCTGTTACTTCGTCTGCTTCAATACCAAAGAACCCTCCTGAACTCTTGACTTGATTAATAAATTGGCTCTGTATATACTTCTTGATACACAGCAAAAGCTCGTTTTGGGTTGTTTTTGACATGTACGAGTTGCGATTTGAAGTTTGGAGATGTTCATAAAGCTCTGTGTCACCGGCATCAAGCCGTAGCTCAATCAAAGCCTTGAAATTCCCTTGGTTGCTTGCGTTAGAGTTTGCGTCATCTCTATGGCCTCTTAAACCTATACCTTGACGCCCGCATAACTCGATGCATTTAATAATTGATGTCAGAAAGGCTCTGTTTTTCAAAACTTGCTTTTCCACTTCTTGAGAAATCCTGTTCTGAATGTCAAGAGACGGATTAGTCATCATTTGAATAAATGCATCCATCTTTGTCTTGGAATCTCGGTGGTATTCAAGTTTACTATGTTTTGAAAAGTCTGCTCTGGCATCTTTCCAGTTACGGTAAGGAGTAGTGACAAGGTTATTTGCTCGTTTACCATGGTGGGCTGTTGCGGGGAAAAAGACACAACACAAGCAAAAGACCCCATCTGTTGACTTTGAATAGCACAAGGTGTCATACATTTCAAACCATTCTCTTAAACAGTACCYCTGTTTCACACCTTTTGCCTCACTACTATCCTTGTATTGCTTGGGAGGAAATTTAAAATCTTTCTCCGGCTGACGGTTGTTGATAAACTGAATTTTTTTTTATTTTTGTGAAGAAACGGAACTGCTGTTATCCACGTAAATAAAAGTAAGTATTTTGTGTGATCACAGGGTGATACATGCTACCATGCTATTGAAAAAAAATACAAAAATGAATAAATTATATTTCATTAGTATAAATGTATTTAATTACTCAAACAAAGGAAACGTTGACATCATATTC